AGATTTTAAGTTTTTTAAAACACAGCTGAGATGGCTTGTCTGATAGGACAGCTATGAACCCAAAGTTCTAGAGAAACAGAACCCACTGCTCACTGGTGGTAGGAATGTGAGTTGTACAGCTGTTTGGAAAGATAGTTTGGTAGTGGTAGTTTAAGTTAAAAGTAGGCTTAACACCTGGTGTTTATCCAAATGCAGTCAGAATTTATATGCCTACAAAAAAATTACACACAAATACTTCGAGGAACTTTACTCATAATTGGCAAAAGTTGAGAGCAACCAAGGTGTCCTTCAGTAAATGAGTGGAGAAATGAGGTAAGTCCATCCGTACCATGGAACATCATACAACAAGAGCGGGCATACTGTGAACAGACGTGGAAGAACGGTAATTGTTGCTGGATCAAAGAAGCCATTCTGAAGTTGTTAATGTTGTGCAATTGTGTGACAGACCGGAAAAGGCGGAACCATATATGAGTGCTTGCCATAGGTTCAGAAGGAAAGTCACAGTGATGACAAGGTGGAGCACAGCATTTGTAGGGCAGTGACATCAAGTGCTGGACTGGTAGCTACATACTGTATTTGCCAGAGTGGGTATCTGTACACAAAAAATGAAATTAATATAAACAAACTACCAGCCTTAATGCAGTACTAGTATTTATCATTCATAACAAATGTAGGACACAAATGTAAGGATGTTCCTGGGGACACTGGAAAGGAAAGATTTGTGAGAACTGTACTTCTCTGCACATTTTTTTTCTGTAAGCCTAAAAATGCTGTTAAAATTTTAGTCTTAGACCAATGAGATGACTCAGCTGCTTGTCAAGCAAGCCAGCGGCCTTAGTTCAGTCCCCGGAAGGTTCAGGCTTATAAATGATTGAATGTTTCAGGTTTATCATCTGGTCCTTATTTTGAAATACAAAAACTCCCAACACAGTGTTTTATTTGGGTCTTTTGGTTTTTGGTTTTTTGAGACAGGGTCTCCTTGTAGCCCCAGCTGAACTGGAACTTAGTATGTAGACCAAGTTGGCCTTGATCTCATAGAGAACCGCCTGCCTCTGCCTCTCAAGTGTGTGCTAGGATTAAAGCCATACACCATCACACCTGGAGCATCATGTTTGTTTTAAAACAAACTCTAAAAATGCCAGATTTTACCAGAGAAAATCTATGGGTAACCTGAATATAAGTGATGAGTGACAGAGTCTGAGGAGGTCACCTGAGCTGTGAAACTCACTTAAAATCATGAAGGAGCAGTTAGCATGGCAGTAGGACAAGATAAGGAAGTGTTTTCCTTGTATGACTACATTGGTTTGAGCCTTAGAATTTGGAGGTAGTATGCTCCAGCTGTGCAGGCCTGGCAATAAGAACCCCACTTGCTGAACCATGGGGCTTGCTCCTTTTCTGTTATAACATGCCCATTGCTTGTAACTTAAAAGTTCTTGTTTCCCTTTGGGTATATTAGAGTTAGCTTAAAAGCAGATTCTGGCTGGGGTTTCAATGAGGGGTAGAGTATTTGCTTTGCAATGCAGGAGGCCCTAAGTCAGTCACCAGTACTGCAAAAAGAAATGAATAAAAAAATAAAAAATAAAAACTTCTGAATTCTATTATTAATGTATAACACACTGGAGAGTCCTTTGGTTGAATATATAATCCTTCCCTAGCCCGGTTTGTTTTGTAGTAGATTGATGTCTCTATACACTTAAAGCCAAGCATCTTTATGTGTAGGAGACTTGGCTACATCCAAGACATTTATAAGAAAAATTCACTTGAGCTGGGTGTGGTGGCACACACCTTTAATCCCAGTACTTGGGAGGCAGAGGCAGGCAGATCTCTTTGAGACCAGCCTGGTATAGTGAGTTATTGATGGTTGTTAGCTGCCATGTGGGTGTTAGGAACCCAACCTGAGTCCTCTGCAAGAGTAACAGTACTCTTAACTGCTGAGCCATCTTTCTAGTCCCTTGTTTTTGTTTTTAACTAGTATAATAACAAATTGAAAACCTTTGGGAAATAGGGAGAAATGTGTATGTGGTCTGTATATAAGAACCTATCCTTTAAGTAATTCATCACTTAACAGACTGTAGTCAGTTGTCTACTGTGTGGTGGTCATGACAGTTGTGAAGATAAACACTTTGCGGTTGGTAGTGTAGCTCAAAGGCAGAATATTTGTCTAGCATGTAAGCCCCGGGGTTCCCTCATCAGCTCGTGTGTGTGCGCACGTACACACACACACACACACACACACACACACACACACACCAAGATCCACCTGCCTTTGCCTTCTAAGTGCTGGAATTAAATGCCCAGCTTGGTAAACCCTTTAATACCACTTACATATAGTCAGTTTGTGACTGGTTTTCCAGGTTAATTACATAAGAAAGCAGTGGCTTCTTTGTGGGGGCTGAGATTAAACCCAGGACCTTTCACATGCTAAGTACATGCTGTATCACTGAGTTTTATTTTTAAACTTACCACTGGTTGTGGTAAAAGTGTGCACATGCCAGAAAAATGTGATTATCACCCTGTAGGCATTTCCTGAATTAATCTTTTTTTGAAAAAATAATACTTAATAGTGGCTGCTAAAGTTAAGAGAATTGCAGATGTTAAAAGTGAGATACTTGGGGCTGGAGAGATGGCTCAGCAGTTAAGAACACTGGCTGTTCTTGCAGGAACACCCAGGTTCGAATCCCAGCACCCACATGACAGCTAACAACTGTCCATAACTCCAGTTCCAGGGGATCTGATGGCCCCTTCTGTCCTCAACAGGCATAGCACAACATGGGTGCACTTAACTTACATGCAGGCAATACATGCATACACGTAAAATAAAATTAAAAAAAAAAAATTTTAAGTGAGATACTTGAATTCAGAGAAAGCCTTTAACATTTCAGAGATGTGCAACAGTGTTCCTTTATACATAAGGATTAATTTTTAGGTCAGGTATTTGTAAATCACAACATTTATTCGTATAGTTTGGGATACTTCTGATCACATAAGTTTTAGAATATTTGGCTGCATATTAGACTATATTAAAAAGATTTGCTTGTTCTGGGGATGTAGCTCAGTTGGTAGAGTGCTTGCTTAGCATGGCTTTGATCCCCAGCACTGCATAAACCATGATGCAGGCATTCCATCCTAGCACTGAGGTAAAGAAAGGAGGATCAGAAGTTTGAGGTCATCCTTGGTTACTTAGGGAGTAACCAGCCTGGGCTACATGAGACCCTGTCTCAAAAAAAAAAAAAAAAAAAAAAAACAAGATCGCCATGCCACCACACCTGTAATTCCAGCCCTCAGGAGGCAGAGGCAGGCGGATTTCTGTGAGATGGAGGCCGGCCTGGTCCATGTAGTGAGTTCTGTGCACACTGGGACTAAGGAGACCCTGTCAAAAACAAAACAACCAAAACCTTGAGTATAAACTATGGACTCACTGCCACAAAAAAAATCAAAAACAACAAAAAAAAGCTTATGCTTTAAAACATGTGTGTTCTTTTCTAATTTCTTTTCTGACTTCTTTGAAATTAATGTTTAAAAACAGCAATACAGTTTTATTTTTGATGGTTACAATTTTAAAGAATTAGGGAAGTATACAAATAGTGTTCTGACAGATGCAAAGAAGATAAAAAATGAGATGTTAGGGGCTGGAGAGCTGACTCAGTGGTTAAGAGCAGTGGCTGCTCTTGCAGAGGACCAGGTTCAGTTCCCAGCACCCACATGGGGCCAAACAACAGTTTGTAACTCTCTTTTGGCCTTCATGGGGAATGGGTTTCCTTACATGCAGGCAATATACTCATACACATAAAACAAAAATAATTTATTTAATGAGATGTTTAAAACTGAGTTAGACAGATTAGAAATTATTGTGGCCTGAATGATCGTGTAAGGTAAATGCACGATTTTAACTTGAAATGAATCAATTATTATTATTATTATTATTATTTATTTATTTATTTTTTGGTCTTTTTGAGACAGGGTCTCCCTGTAGCCCCAGCTGTCCTGGAACTCACTATGTAGACCAGGCTGGCGTGCACCACCGTGCCCAGCTATTTCTTAATTTTTTTAAGTTTATTATTTTTATTTTATGTGTATGAGTGTATTGCCTACATGTGTATAAGTGTACCTGTGTCATGCAGTGCCTGCGGAGGTCAGAAGAGGGCATTGGATCCCCTGGAACTGAAGTTACAGACGGTTGTTAACCGCCATGTTGGTGTTGGAAGCCAAACCTGGGTCATCTGCAAGAGCAGCCAGTGCTCTTAACCAGTGAGCCATCTCTCAGCCCCTGAACTTATTATTCTAAGTTAAATAATTAATTTAAAATACAAATTCATGGGGCTGGAGAGATGGCTCAGTGGTTAAGAACACTGGTTGTTCTTGCAGAAGACCCAGATTCAAATCCCAGCACCCACAGGGCAGCTAACAACTGTCCGTAACTCCAGTCCCAGGGGATCCAACAGCCTCTTCTGACCTCCGTGGGCATTGCACAACACGGGTGCACTTACCTATATGCAGGCAATACACACACACATAAAATAATAAAATTTTTAAAGTTTAAAATATAAATTCATAATAAACTTACACCCCTAAAAATGTTGAAGGTAGTTTCAGAGTTTTGAGTATATCTTAAGTCTCTCGTCTCATTTATACAAATGAGAAGAGTTTATAGCATAAACTGCTTCAATTTCCTTCATTAAGGAAATACATTTAACTCAGTTTGAGATGACTCCATGTTGAAGGTTCTCAACATACTCTGAATTACTCAGGAGGCAAGTGAGTGAGTGAGTGAGTGTGTGTGTGTGTGTGTGTGTGTGTGTGTGTGTGTGTGTATGCATGTGTACAGATGAGTCTAAAGCCAAAGTCAAAACTTTGTTGCCAGTTTATACTTCTGAATATTTTTGATGTTGCATTATGATTTTTAGATATTTAATAACTAATAAAAGCCTTGTATAAAGTTTACACAAATGATGACCTGTATCATTAGGAGTTTACTTAGCTTATTATGTTTCAATTGCTAGAGTGCTACCGAGCCAAGCCAGGCTATACACCATTGTTGCTGAAAAAAAGGATCTTTCAGAGGAGCCCCCCTCCCTGAAAAGGAACTCCAGTCAGTTTGATTGGGCTCTAATGAGACTGGATAATTCTGTGCGAAGAACTGGTCGCATTACAAAGAAGCTTCTACAGAGAGTGTTTGAAAGCACATGTCGCTCAGGTATTTCAAAATTTTCCTGTTTAGGAAGTTGACCTTTGTACTGAATATTTGGAGACACACTCACTGTAAAGAGCATTATTTGGTACTTTAAATTTTGCTAACTATGAGTCTGATCTCTCTAAATCAGGCAAAGTTTGGAGGATCATAAAATATTTCGGTTAGCTAATTATTTCAGAATCAGCAAATAAAAATAGTAATTTGTCTTCTGTAGTTTATAGAAATAGAGTTGCTTTCAGTGGTGAATTGTCCTGGAAGGTGCTGGTTTTACTTTTTTTTCTTTGTGTTGTATCATGTTTTCCCAAGATGATCACATAGAAAAACATCATTTCCCTTCAACTTCCAGCTAGCTGCTAGGGTCAGTTTGGATTAGATTTTTGATAGTCTTGATAGACATTGCAGGTCCTTCATGCTCAGACTTCTTTTTCCCCCTCTCCCATGCTCCCACAGAAAACCAAAGCAAACTTGTAAACACCTGTCATTTTGTTTTCATTTCAAGAAGATTCCCCAAACTTCTGAAATCTGCTTGTGAATGTCAGTTACAGTTAAGACCCAGAGCTGTGAAGTCTGATGATGACGGCTACCATAGAAGTATGGATTTCATCTATGAGCATTCACATTCAGAGGCTCTTTCTCTTACCTTCTCTGATTTATTCAGAGTTGTCCAACCATCACTACAATTAATTTGTGAGCTTTTCATCACCCTCAAAAACTGTACCCCTCGCCTCCAGTCCCCAGCTCCCCCGACTCTTTACAGTCTTAGACAACCACAAGTGCATTTTCTGCCCCTTTAGTTTCTTACTCAATATTTCAATATTTCATACAAATAGGATTATTTTATTTTTGTTTAGTCTTGAAGTCAGCTTTAGGGACATGTAGGTAAAGCTTAAATTTGATAATTATATGACTTTTTATTATACTACTTTGTATCATTTTCATAAAAAATGGAGAGGTTTAACCTTTAAATTTTAGCAAGCACTGCTTAGCAATTAGGTTTTTTTTTAACATAACCCTAGATTTTTCTTTCTCCCTTTCCCCCTCTTTTCCTTTTCCTTTTTCTTTGAGACAGAGCTCACTATGTAACCCTGGCTGACCTAGAACTCAGTATGTATACCAGGCTGGTCTATGCCTCCTGAGTACACCACAACTGGTCTTCCCTAGATTTCTTAGGAAAACATACTAATATTAAAATTGTTAACACTGCTTTAATTTAGTAATGTCTTTGTCACTTTAAAAAGTTGTATTTCCAGATAATTTGTAAATTTCAGATTTAAGTTTGATATTTTCTATGATATTGATACTGTGACATAAACTCCATTGACCTTTTTTCCACAGGTAGCCCAGGAGGTAATCAAGCCTTGCTTCTATTGCGAAGCTGTGGTTCTCTCTTGCCCGAACTGAGTCTCACAGAGAGAACAGAATTTGCCCATAAGATATGGAACAAACTTCAGAAATTAGGTATGATCACTTATGTATGCTATTCTATTCATAATAGTGTTTCTTTACATAAATACTATAATTCAATTTTTTTGTTTTTGGTCTTTTTGAGACAGGGTCTCTCTGTAGCCCCAGCTGACCTAGAACTCTATGTAGACCAGGCTGGCCTTGAACTCACAGAGATCTGCCTCCCAAGTGCTGGGAAGTATTATAGTTTTAATAAGTGAAAAAATATCAAAATAGACATTTGGTGTATCAAAATTATAGCTACGTCCAGTATTACCAAGCAGTTCCATTTGTTAGAATTAACATACACTCATACACTTGTCATTGTAGCGTGTGTGTAATAGCATGGCATTGAAACCAGTCCTGGTCTCCTTCACTGGGGAGTACATCAATAAATTGTGGATATTACATAACAGAATACTGTGAAACTCTTCAAAATAGATCTCTTCATACCTTGATGGGGATAATGTTTCTCCTAAATTATAAATAAACATCAAGATGCTGAACAGTGAACACAGTATACTACCATCTTGAAGCAGTGCTTTCTTATACATATGTGTTCACAGTATTAAAATATTTCTTGAAGGATGACAAACACTAGGTATAATGTTTGCTATATACCTCTTTTATATTTTTTTGAATCATATAACATTGTATATATTAAAAAATAAAGTAACTTAGTGAGCACAGCAGGTGACACACCAGTATTGTGAATGGGGAAATTTCACAGGGTCCTGCCTCTAAATGAAGAGCTAAGGGAGTCATTGGATGCTGAGAGAGGGAGAATTAGTTTTCTCTAGGGACTAATTTCCTGAGAGTTTAATCCCATGTGATCAGCTCTAAACACATGTACACATGAGCACCACTAAATCAACTCAGTGCCTTTTATGTATGTATGTATAAATATATGTATATGTAACAATAAAGAAGAGGATAAGAACTTGAGAGGGAGTTGTGGGAATGTGAGAGGAGTTTGACAGGTGACAAGAAGGAATGAAAATGATGTAAATACAGTACTCATGTATGATATTCCCAAATGACAATGAAAATAATACATTTTTGTTTGCTTGTTTTGAGACAGGGTCTCCCTGTAGCCATGGTCGACCTAGAAATCTGTGTTGACTAGGTTGGCCTAATCTCACAGAGATCGCCTTCCTCTACTTCCTGAGTACTGGGATTAAAGATGTGCACCACCATGCCCAGCTCAATTAAAAAAAAAATTTTTTTTTGGTCTTTTTGAGACAGAGTCTCCCTGTAGCCCCAGCTGGCCTGGAACTTATTATATAGACCATAGTGGTCTTGAACTCACAGAGATCCATCTGCCTCTGCCTCCCCAGTGCTGGGATTAAAGGCGTGGGCTACCACGCCAGGCTCAATAAACTTTTTAAAAAGGCCATGCCTTTAATCCCAGCACTGGGGAGGCAGAGGCAGATGGATCTCTGTGAGTTCAAGACCACTATGGTCTATATAATAAGTTCCAGGCCAGCTGGGGCTACAGGGAGACTCTGTCTCAAAAAGACCAAAAAAACCCAAAACCAAAACAAAACAAAAAAACTATGAGGTAAAGATCAGAACTTTATTCTGTTCTAGTTTTTTTTTTTTTTTTTTTCCATATAGGTGCAGAATAACACAGTTATATATATGCAGTTTTACTTAATTGGATTCTTTATGGATTTTTCAATTAGAAAAATTTTGGATTTTCAAACATTAATATGTCCAGCTAATTACTGTAAGCTGACTTTCCAGGTCCTATAGTTAAGCAATATAATCACCTAGATGATAAGGTGCTGTTTCACATCACTGCATTACACACAAGAGCTGATGACTACAGGTTTTAACATACTAAAAGAAGCATTCATCTACTCTTTAAGCTTTTTAAATACTAGGAATGAATATTGAATTTTATCAGTCTTTCAAATTACTTTTTTTCTTTTATTAGTCTTTTTGAGACAGGGTCTTCCTGTAGCCCCAGCTGTCGGGCGTGGTGGTGCAGGCTTTTAATTCCAGTACTTGGGAATCAGAGGTAGGTGGTCTACCTACTGAGTTTCAGGCAAGGGAAAAACAGAAACTTACCAAAATTGAAAAGACTCAATCAGGTTTATAAATAGGGAGACTCCAGTCCATGATTCCCAGCCACCCAGTTCTAGTCTCTGAGGAGAGTCAATCAAATCTAACTTTAAGAACAAAAAAAAATTTTTTTAACTTTTAGGAAAAAATTTTAAGACAATAATAACATTTTGGAAAATAGTGGATGTAGTATTGTGTGTGTAGTTTAGAGGCGTGTGCCATGCAGGTGTTTATGTTCATATGTGTGGAAGCGAGAGGTCACCCTCAGGTGTTGCTACTCGAGTACATCCACCTTGGTTTTGGGTTTTGTTTTTATGGTAGTAGGGTCTCACTATATGACCTGGGCTGGCCTAGAACTTGCTATGTAGACTAGGCTGGCCTTGAACTCACAGAGATTTGCCTGCCTCTGCTTCCCAAGTGCTAGGACTACAGGCATGTGCCACCTGCCTGGCCACCTTATTTTTTAAGCTTTTTAAAAAAATATTTATTTGTATGTGTATGGATGTATTGCCTGCATGTGTGTAAGTGCACCCATGTTGTGTAGTGCCTGCAGAGGTCAGAACAAGGCATTGGATTTCCCTGGAGCTGGAGTTGTTAGCTACCATGTGGGTGCTGTGAATCGAACCTGGGTCCTCAACTGCTAAGCCATCTCTCCAACCCAACCCTGCCACCTTTTTTTTTTTTTCAAAGACAGGGTCTCTCATTGGAATCTAGGACTCACCAATTAGGTTTTACTGACTGGCCAGTGTGCCTCAGGGATCTGCTTGTCTCTGCTTCTCCAGAGCTGGGATTACAAGCACCTCACCATGTTTGGTATATTAGTTATTTTCTATTGCTATAATAAAATACCCTGACAAAAGCAACTTGAGAGAGAAGATTTATCTTGGCTCACAGTTTTAGGGTATAGTCCATTGTTATAGGTAAGTCATAGCAGCGGGAACTTGAGGGAGCTGGTCACATTGTTTGTATAGTTGAAGCAGAGAAGGGTAAATGCTTGAGTTTCTTCCTTGTGTGCAGCCCAAGATCTCAGCCTAGGAAATGGCACTACCCACAGTGGGTGGGTCTTCCTATATCCTCACCTAATCACAGTAATCCCCTCACACATATACCCAGAGGCTTGTCTGCCAGGTGTTTCTAGTCTCACCAACATGAGGATTAACATTAACCATCTCACCTGACTTTCTGCAAGGGCACTTCTGATCAAACTCAGGTCCCCATGCTTTCACAGCAAGTATTTTACTGACAGCCATCTCCCCGGCCCTTGTGCTGATGATTTTCTTTTAAATTTATTTTCTTTTAAGTTGATTTTTTTTTTTGGTCTTTTTGAGACAGGATCTCCCTGTAGCCCCAGCTGTCCTGGAACTCAGTATGTAGACTAGGCTGGCCTTGAACTCACAGAGATCCACCTGCCTCTGCCTCCTGAGTGCTGGGACTAAAGTTGTGCACCACCACGCCTGGCAAGTTGGTAATTTTTTAGAAAACATTTTTAGGCCGGGCGTGGTGGCGCACGTCTTTAATCCGAGTACTCCGGAGGCAGAGGCAGGCAGATCTTTGTGAGTTCAAGGCCAGCCTGGTTTACATAGTGAGTTCCAGGCCAGCTGGGGCTACAGGGAGACCCTGTCTCAAAAAGATCAAAGGAAAAAAAAAATTTTTTTTTAGGTATTATGTGGTAACTTTCTTGCATAATCATGTTACAGATGTGATTAGCACTTGGTTCCCTGTATGACTCTACAAAAATGTTACAGGGTTTAAGAGACTTGTTGGGTGGATATGGTGCTGCATATCTGTTTTCCCTGCACTTGGACAACAGAGGCAGGAGGATCACCATGGGATTTAAGGCCAGCTTGGTCTGTATAGCAAATTCTAAGCTAGGGATAGCAAGACCATGTCTAAAAAAAAAAGCCCAACAGCATAAAAAGTGATCAGACTCAGCTTAACACCACTGAGATTCAAATTTCTTGTCATTTATGTGACCTTGGATGATTAGAAGGGGCAGCCATCCTCATCTATAAAGTGAGGATAGTAATAGTATTTGCCTGAATGCTGTGAAGAATAACCAAGCCTTTATGTGTGGACCACTAAGCATAATGCCTGAAAAACAGTATTTTATATATATGCTAAGGTAAGGGTGAATTTAATAAAGCAGATCCTGGCTGACTCCAATTAAGACCACAGACCACTATGGCCCCGTACAATTGAATAAGACTATAAAATTCATGAAAATTTAGGGCAACATGTTACTCTATTCAGCTGTGTCCCTTCTGTGGCCTGAAGGCCACATACATCCCAGGATAACTATGAATACATCATATTGCGATGTCAAAAGGTTAGACACCCTGTTAGATTTTGCTAACACAATGTCATTTGTGGGTAGAGTAAGACTGAGTGACAGTCCTAACTGATGTGATCCTAGGCAGTGTCTATTTAGGAAGAGAACAAAGCCCATTAGAATATGGGTAAATGATGTTAGCAGACTAGAAATGGCATTCAGCAGCTGGAGATGGAGCAGGTTCTTCAGGTAAAGGCTTTTGGTAATCTCGCAGAGGTTGAGAACGATTTTTTAAAATATTTTTATTTATGTGTATGAGTGTATTGCCTGCGTGTATGACTGCACCCATGTTGTGCAATGCCTGCAGAGGTCAGAAGAGGGTGTTCAATCCCCTGGAACTGGAGTTAATAGACAGTTGTTAGCCACCATGTGGGCGCTGGAAATCAAACCTGGGTCCTCTGCAAGAGCAGCTAGTGCTCTTAGCCACTGAGCCATCTCTCCAGTCCTAAGAACAATTTCTAACAGAGTCTTACTTTATGAAAGAAAGGTCACAGTATATCTGCAGGATAGTGAGGACTGTTTTACATAGGAAAGTCTTTGTCAATTTTAAATATAGAAAGATTGTCAGCCTTTTCTAACAGGAAGGCAATACTGTTTCATAAGTAAATAGCTGATTAATATCTGCACATAGTTCAGTTGTGTTAAAGGATATGATTTTAAATGCTTTGTTAAACATTGGATTTAATTTCTTTTGTAGGTACTATCTATGATGTAAGTCACTACAATGCTTTACTTAAAGTCTATCTTCAAAATGAACATAAGTTCTCACCTACTGATTTCCTCACAAAGATGGAGGAAGCACACATTCAGCCAAACCGAGTAGGTAGATGCTGTGGTGACCGCTGATAGCCCTACCCCACTTTATTTTCAGGGGGGGACAATGTATAAAAATGTTAACTAGCCCATGTAATTGGCAGGTAACATACCAGAGGCTGATTGCTGCTTACTGTAACACAGGAGATATGGAAGGTGCCAGGTATGTGTATTTCTTTTATGTAGGTGGTTTTGATTTTGTTATTTATTTTGTGGGTTTTTTTTTTAGATAGGATCTTGCTCTGTATCCCTGACTGGCTTAGAATTTGCTATATAGAGCAAGCTGGCCTCAAGTGGAAAACCAGAGGACAGCTTGCAGTAGTTGACTCTCTCCTTCTACCATGTGGGTTCTGGAGGTTGAATTTAGGTTGTCAAGCTTGGCAAGCCTCTTTACTTGGTGAACCATCTCACCAGCCCTAAATGTAGGTTTATTAAAACAAAATGGTAAATTGTATAATTTTAAGACATAGTTGCTCCTTTGAAAAATTTTTTCCCTTTTTTTACTATTTTAATTTTTAATTATGTGTATGTGTCTTTGTGTGAGTATATGCACATGAGGGTGTCAGACCCCTGGAGCTGCCGTTGTAGGCAGTTGTGAGCTGGCTATAGATGCTAGGACCTTGGGTCCTCTGCAAGAGCAATATTGGCTCTTAACTGCTGAGCCATCTCTCTAGTCCCTGAAAATTTCTTCTTTATAAGGGCAACATTTTAGAAATACTTTAACATAGCAAATTTGATTATATAATTTAGGTAAAATGCAGAAAAGGAAAGATAAGTTTGTTGTCTTAACTAATTGGAACAGAGGCATAAATTGTTGAGGTACAAAACTGGATTTTTTTTTTTTTTGAGACAGGGTTTCCCAGTAGCCTTAGTTGGCCTTGAACTCTGTGTACCTCACAGAGATCTACCTGTCTCTGCTTCCTGAGTGTTAGAGTTAACATGATATGTACCACCACCACCACACCTGGCACTTTTTAAAAAAATTTGTTTTGAATTTTGTGTATTGAATTTTTGTCTATTTCATACAGTATATCTTAATCATCTTTATACCCCCTTCCCCATTGGTCCCCTTCCCATAACCACTCTCCACTGGAATTTATGCATTCTGCCATTTGTGTTAAGGCCTATCAAGTCAACTGTGTGTCCTCAGACATCCCTCAGTGCAAATTCATCCACTGAGGTCTAGACAGCCATTTAGTCTCTCCCTTTAAGAAGATCAGTTCTTCCTCATCTAGCAATAATCAGCTGCCAATAGTTCTTTGCTAAGATTGGGGCCTACTGCCCATTTCTACCATTCTGTGTTGGGTTTTTGTCTGCTAGAGTTTGTATGGGTCTTGTGCATGCTGACACCATTGCTGTAGGTTCATATGAGCAAGGTCCCAGGAATCTGTAGGACTGTATTTCTGTATGGTCATGTACCTCCTTCCTGGCTTTTAAAATCTTTCTGCCCCTTCTTCCACAATGGTTCCTAAGCCCTAGGTGGGTGGAGTTTAACATAGGAGTCCTGTCTGCAGACACTTATTCTCTACACTTTGGCCGTTTATGTCTTTTTGTGTTCCTGGCCCTCTGGTGCTGAAGAAGCTTCATTGATGAGAATTGAGAGATGCATTAGTATTGTCTCTACTGCTTGTTCTACTGTGTTCCATCAGCCTTAGGTGTAGAGGTTGCATTATAGATGTGTCACTTCGGCTTGGGTAGTTCACAATCTCTGTATGACCATTTGTGGAACTCTGTAATAATCTCTATCTGTTGCAAAAGAAGCTTCCTTGATGAGTGGTAACTAGGGTAGTTGTCTGTAAATATAAGGATACATATTTTGTACATAGTAAGAAATTATATTCGTCTAGGGATGTAACAAAATTTACATTCGTCTTGGGATTTTTTTTCTAAGATCTGTGACCTCTCCAGCCATGTGTATTTGGCTATATTGAGTTTCCTCCCATTGAGTGGGATTTAAGTCCAGTTAGGTAGCTGTTGATTACCCTCAAAAATGCCACTACTGCCCCAATATAGTTTGCTATGCTGGTCATTGATGTGGTTATTAAGCCTTAAAGCTGAGGTTGGACCATCAGTTGATGTTTTCCCTTAGCAGCTGTGTAGTGCTCTCCAAAACTATGAGAGCTTACTTCCAGGTCATTTCCTGCTCTATTGCTCCAAATCCTGTGTCCGAAGTATGTCCTGTCTTCAGCAATAGGGTCTTACCTTGAAGTTTAGGGAGGCTATCAAGGGCTGTGGCAATAACCTATGTAATTTTGGGAATCTCTTGGACTACCCTGGCCAACAACTCAAAGGGGAGGTTTCTCCTGTCTGGCAGTTTCTTGTTACGTAATCTTCAACTATACACATGGATTCATGTAGAGATATTGCTATGTGTAATATTTCAGTAGGTTTTTTTTTTTTTTGTCTTTTTGAGACAGGGTCTCCCTGTAGCCCCAGCTGTCCTGGAACTCACTATGTAGACCAGGCTGGCCTTGAACTCACAAGGATCCACCTGCCTCTGCCTCCCGAGTGCTGGGATTAAAGGCATGCACCACCACACCCGGCTCATTTTGACTTTTAACCAAGAAACTGGCTACTTTTCTTTGGGGTCTTTTTACCCTGCCTAGCCAATTCCTACCTCCTATTCTTATCTCTCCTCTCTCTCCCCCTCCATATCCAACCCAATCAAAGTATCTCCATTATCCCCATTTCTTCCTTAATAATAATCCCCTATCTCTTGAACTCCTTCCTCTTTATCCCCATAGTTTCTTATATAGTTCCTTCTCCCCCTCCCATTTAAATACCCCCATTTTACCCATTTCTTCCTTAGTAACACTTGTCTTTTACTGTTCTCTCTCAGTTTCCTTCTTTTCTTTTACTTCCCTGATTCCTTTCCATGTTCCTGGCTCCTGCTGTTATGTCAGGGTATATATTCACATACAAAGATTTGGTGCTAGGAGCCGCAAATGGAGAGCAAACATCATTTGTTTTTCTGAATCTGTGTTACTTCATTTACTATAACAGTTTCTAGTTCTGTCCATTTATCTGCTTTTTTTCTTTTCTTTTTTTTTTTGAGATAAGGTCTCCCTCTAGCCCCAGCTGGCCTGGAACTCGCTATGTAGACCAGGCTGGCCTTGAACTCAGAAATCCACTAGCCTCTGCTTTCCAAGTGCTAGGATTAAAGGTGTGCAGTCACCTGCTAATTTTATGAGTTTGTCTTACTGCTAAGTAGAACACTATAGTGTAAATGCACTGCATTTTCATTATCTGCTTGTCAGTTGAGAGAGAGATGCTATGGTTGCTTCCATTTTTTAACACTACCCAGAGGCCAGATTCTGGCAGAGGCTGGATTCAGGACCTCTCAGTCAGTCTGCAACAGTTTGGGCCCCTATTAGATGGCAGAGAAGCGTAACCCCCCCCCCCTTTTCTTTTAAAATAACTATTTCCTAAGGAAAATACTCTTAGCCATTTAAACTGTGTTCATTTATAAAACTTGAGGGTTTTTTTGTTTTGTTTTTTTAAAGGTCTCCTGGGAATATTCATTTTTGTCCCTCTGATTCATATAAAATCAGTTGCAACATATACCTGCTTATATAAATTTATTGCCACTTGGGAAATAAAGGATAGATTGAAATACATAATTTTATTTGTTAATAATGTGGAAGATTTTCTTCAAATTATTAATATTTTTTTCCTTTCTCTTTTTTATTGTCTTGAATTTTGGAGGGGTGGTGGGCAGTGTTGAGGCTTGGATTCATGACCTTGCACATGCTAAGCAAAAACTTTACAACTGAGCTACAGCTGTAACTAACTTAATATTTTTAACAAGAGTATTTCAAGATTATTGATACTTCAAGGGGTTGGATTTCATAAGAAGGTGTTTGTTTTCCACTGTTCAGTTTTAAAACCTGTTATTGTGTTATGCAAAACTTAAAACTTAGTTTATCCATGTATTATGAAAAGTATCTGTGGTATTTACTTCCAATAATATCTTCATGTCTTATTTCTGTCTTATTGCAGCAAGATTCTTGGATTTATGAAAACCAAGGACCTCCCAATCACAGAGGCAGTGTTCAGTGCTCTTGTTACAGGGCATGCAAGAGCTGGGTAATTTTCAACCTCGTTTTTTATTCTTAAACAAGGTTTAAGTCACAAAAAAGTATTGTAGAAAATTCATAAAATATATTTACCCTTTCAAAAAAAATCTGGTATGAGGTAAAGAACACTGATATTTTTCTTACTCCCTTTAAATTTGTTTCACAAATCTTTTAATTATTCAGTGTTAAAAACGGCTTGATGTAAAGTAATTAAATTTAAAAATTTATGGGGCTGGAGCTGGAGAGATGGTTCAGTGGTAAGAGCATTGACTGCTTTTGCAAAGGACCCAGGTTTGATTTCCAGCATCTACATGGCGGCTAACAACTGTCCGTAACTCCAGGTCTAGGAGATCTCACACCCACTTCCGACCTCCAGGGGCATTGCATAGCATGGATACACTTACACACATGGAGACAATACACTCATACAACATAAAATAAAAATAAATATTTTAAATTAAAAAATTTACTGCTCTAGAAAATACTTTAAATCTGTGTCATAGCATGCTTAATTTATTACTTAATCTTTACGTAGTTACTACATGTAGGGTGAAGTTACCTATAAAATTTCAGGTGCTTATGGTTTTTATTTCAGAAATATATAATGTTAATGAATATTTGCCCTTTTTTGTACATAATTTCAAGTAGTACTTAAAATTACTGTGCTTAATGGGCATAGGTAATATATTTTAGATTGAGTAATTATATTACATTCAGCTGTATGTTTTATTTTCTTTGAATTAAATTACAGAGATATGGAGAATGCAGAAAATATTCTCACAGTGATGAAAGATGCTGGCATTGAGCCTGGACCAGACACATACCTGGCATTACTGAACGCATATGCCGAGAAGGGTAACATTGACCATGTTAAACAGGTGTGGTTTATGCTCCAAGTCAGCATTGAATTCATTTGTCTAAATTTGTGTTGTTTTACACAGAGCACAAAAAAATAACTTGTGTCTATTTTTAAGGAGGCTCCTTTTGCAGATGGTAATATTTAAAGAAAATTCTTAGTTTGCTACCTTAATGTTGATATATAACAGTTACTGTTGGGATAGAATATTGTAGTCTAACTTTTTAAATCTTGTGTTTTTATTTAGCTTCAATACTTCTAATTTTTCATTCTAATTTCTGAAACTAGATTCTGGAGAATGTAGAGAAATCAGATCATTGCCTTATGGACCGTGATTTATTGCAAATTATCGTCAGCTTTAGTAAAGCTGGATATCCTCAATATGTCTCAGAAATTTTGGATAAAGTTACCTATGAAAGAAGATATATTCCAGGTATTTCAAAAGTTTTTATCTACATGACTTTGATGAAAAGCCAAATTGCTGAATTGAATTCTCTTACCAGTAGAGGATTGTGCAAGATGAACATAGATAGGACTAGGTTAGTAGTGTGATGAGCTGAGAAAATATGAGTTAATGAATATGTGAGTAACAGTCCTGGGAAGTGCTTTCTTGTACTTGCACCGAGCCTTCTGGTGTTTATAGTTCCTAAGTTTTTCTTTTTTTCATTTTATTATTTTTATTTTATGTGTATGCGTGTATTGCCTGCATGTGGGTAAGTGCACCCGTGTAGTGCAATGCCCGTGGAGGTCAGAAGAGGCTGTTGGATCCCCTGGGACTGGAGTTATAGACAGTTGTTAGCTGCCATGTGGGTGCTGGGATTCAAACCTGGGTCTTCTGCAAGAATAACCAGTATTCTTAACTGCTGAGCCATCTCTCCAGCCCCAGTCTAAGTTTTTTTTTTAAAGATACTTTTTTTTTATTCGTGTGTGTGTGTGTGTGTGTGTGTGTGTGTGTGTGCATGTATGTGCATGCTCATGTGTGCGCTCACATGCTTGAGTGGACCACAGGGTGTGTGTGGAGGTCAGAGGACAACTTATGGGAGTCAGTTCTCTTGAGCTCAGGCCGTTTGGTAGTAAGTGCCTTTACCCACTGAGCCGTCTTGCTGGCTCTGTTCTTTTTAGTACCAGATACAATATAAATAGATTGCTCAATTTAGTAACAAAAGATCTTTGTTTTCTTCCTAGATGCAATGAACCTCATTTTGCTTTTAGTCACTAAGAAATTGGAAGATACAGCATTCCAAATTTTATTAGCATTACCTATATCAAATGAAGACAATGAAAATGATTTTGGCAGTTTTTTTTTACAGCACTGCGTGACTATGGATACGGTATTCTGTCTTTCTACTTTGTAGATTGTATAGTTGTCAGTGAAATGAGATTTTTTTTTTTTTAATATAAGAAATTAGACGAGTTGTAAACAATATACAAAATTTTTTATGTTGGTGATTTTTGGGTAGAAGCTTTAAAATGTTCATCACTGAGGTGGTTGACTATCTATAGTAGGTCAAGTAGTGGGGTGCCAACCTAGCTGACATGGTGTCTTTCCCCCCTCAGCCTGCTGAGAAGCTGATAGACTACTGTAAGAAGTTAAAGGAAGCCAAGATGCACAGTTCTTCTTTGCACTTCACCCTCCATTGTGCTTTGCTAGCCAATAAAGCCGGTACCGTATTACGTCAGTTAAAACCAATTTCAACACATTTGGCTGAGGGAGCTTGGTGACATCTTATGGCATGTCTTTCAGATTTGGCAAAAGCACTGATGAAGGTTTTAAAGGAAGAAGGCTTTCCCATCCGGTTTCACTATTTTTGGCCATTGCTAATTGCACATCAGAAGAGAAAAGATGTTCAAGGTGAGGCTTGCGTCCTACTAATTCATAATCGGTCAGTCACTGTTAGAGTATATACACATGTGTTTGCGTTCTTTGGAAAAGCACACTTTCTGAATCTTTTGAGAAACTGGATTTGTGTTAAGTGATCTTGAAGTGGATTTCTTTTACCTTCCTTTTATTCATTTCATTTCTTAGTTTACTTCTTGTATTGACGTTCAGACTTGTGAATAAGGTCGTAAACAGTTAAAAACTGTTTAGCATTTGAAATTAATTTGTCTAGCCATAGTGAAGTTATATCTAATCAAGTTCATAAAACAAGAAGTATGGTCATTTCCTTTGTGGACCAGTCTGTTCTTAACTGAGCATAGTTGACAACAATAGGAATGCAAGGAAACTTTGCAAAATGGTGCTCATGACCTGACAGCCTGCTGATTGAAGGACAGAAATGTTCAATCTTTCATCCTAAGTACATTTAAGCATTTAGCATACTTTTCCCTGTACACATGGGATGTCTATAGGATATGAATAAAATTGAACAAATATTAAATTTTAGAGTACAGTATCTAATTCTTTGGTTTGCATTACTGGTAATTCAGAAGGAGTATTCTCATAAAAAGATGCTTTTAACAGAAGTACTTCCCCCTTGGGGAAACAAAAAGTGGTCTTTTTCACTTTATCTTACAGTATAATGTGCTTTGGAATGAGATGCATAGTTGTTAGTGTGACATTGGGTGACAAACAAAATGCACAAACAACAAAAAAAGTGCTTTTAACAGACTTTCATGTTGCAATTTTATTTTAAATATATAGCCTTCTTCTGGTTTAAAGGAAATAGTGAAACAAGAATTCCCTAATTGTTTCTGGCTATAAAAGTCTCCAAATCCTTTTTAGAAAAGTCTTTGTGAAAACAATATGCTAGTTGATTAACTCTTTGTATATCCTCCAGTTTTGAAAGCAAAAGGTAATCTTTAACCCAGTATTTTTGAGTCACAGAAAGTTTCCATCATTCCCTCAAACTCTGGGCGTTTTAGTATTATTTACCTTTTCACGGGTAGGAAAACACTTTGGATACCCTGTTGAAACATTTGAGTATCAGGTAATTTTCCTTTTGTGCAACTATACTGTAATATATACAGTTGAGTTGGTTACTATATTATTAATAGTAAACATAAAAGAATTGGGCACTTTTTCTTTATAGTTACAATGAGTCGAATTTGTAGAAAATGGGCTTATCCTGCTCATTCTTATTCTCAGGCTCTTAGAATTTTGAAAGTGTTTGCTTGAAAGCTATATTGTGTTACTGACAGAGCTGAGGGCACAAGGGATTCAGTGACCACATCTAACCATCAGTGTTGGGATTAAAAAGGATGTTTATACTTTTATTGAAATACTCATTTCATCAAACTTTGTAACTGGTATACTGTTTTATTAGCATTCTTAGTTACCCTTTAGAAGTTATGTACCAGGTTTTACATTCGGGACACTTTAAAATGAGGGAGCACATTTTTCAACCAGTGTGAGTTTTACTTGGAACAATGCAGAAGCTTGTTCTTCATTGAGACACTGACCTGATAGTGCAGGAGAGTGTCAATTGTCTCACAGTCTCCTTTGGGCCTTGTCTTCTGGAGGTCCTGAAAGATAGTGGTATACACTGTGCTGTCTTCTCTCATGTCACAGGGAAACGACAGTCTGCGTTCCATAGTTTCTGTCAGTGTAAGGACAGAAAGTAGCATTCTTAATAGTGAAATGAGCATGTTCTCTGTCCAGTCAAAGTCATGTATAAACTAGTAGGAAGAAGAAAATGACTGCTATGATACAGGGTATGTGGGAGTGTTTAATAAAGAATAAATAGAACCCTTCAGGAAATGAAAGAAATATTTGGAGATCAACTACAAGTGAACCCGGAGTGTTCAGTAATAGGAAGATCACACTTCTGTTGAATTTTTATGGCAGGAGGTCTTTTAGTACCATTTTTCTCTGAAAAGTCACCAGGGTAACACATATTTTTCAGAGTAAAAACATGTATTTTGGGACTAAGAACATTTTCAGCAAGCTGGCATAACTAAGAGGGAAAGCTCGGGTGCGTATGGAGCTACATACCCTCTGGTCTATTTAGGAAATAAAAAAATAAGAATATTAGGCCACCCTCAAAGTGTAAGTGCGAGTTTAGTGAAGGGTAGATAGAGGGACCTTATTTTTCAAAAAGTAGGACTCTACTGCCAAATAAAGTTTGCACACTGATAGGGTTTTAACTATTTTAATTGCTTCAGTGTTGTTTAGACAAACAAAAGGCTGAGTAAATTTACAAAATTCTTGATTCATCAGGTAATTGAACTAAACTTTGTGACTTTTCTTAATTGATTTCAAGTTTATCATCTCTGTACTTCTGTATTTTATATTATAGGTATAATTGACATTTTAAAAATAATGAAGGAAATGGGAGTAGATCCTAATCAGGAAACATATGTAAATTATGTATTTCCATGCTTTGATGATATAAAGTCAGTACGTGCTGCTTTGCAGGTGAGTGTAAATGTGCTTTTAATTGCATAATTGAAGAAAATTATTTTTCTCCTCCCTTCCCAAAAAGGCACCATTAAACTGAGAACAAAAACTGGTCTTGTAGATACAATTTTCTGTATTGTTTATTATAATACATATAGTAGTTTAATACAGCATAAAAAGAGGAAACATTTTTCTTATGTGTGGAAATGGCAGTATGGCAATATTGGGAAAATTCAAGCAATATTCACTCCTTAATTCTATTTTAGTAACTGCAGTTTTAATTTTTTTGAATATCATTTTCACTTTTTAAAAAATATTTTATTATTTTTATTTTATGTGTATGCGTTTATTGCCTGCATGTAGATCAGTGCATCCATGTCATGCAGTGCCGGCGAGGACAGAAGAGGCCATCGGATCCCCTGGAACTGGAGTTATGGACAGTTGATAGCTGCCATGTGGGTGCTGGGATTCGAACCCAGGTCTTCTGCAAGAGCAACCAGTGTTCTTAACTATTGAGCCATCTCTCCAGCCCCATTTTCACTTATTTTTATAAATGAATTAATAGTATATTTATTAATCTGCATTTAAACATAATCTTTGTTGGACTTGAAGCATGGGTTTCCTGCCATGTGTCTTATACCTACCAGAATATGCAAGGAGTTAATAAATGGTCGTATGAAGAGGATGATTTGGACTGTACAGGAATTCCATTTTCTATTTTAAAGCAAAATGCTATCCATACAATTAGGAACAACATGACAGAGCACCAAATATATAATAATTCTTTTTCCCCATTGCCCTAGCTGGCCTAGAACTCACTATGTAGACCAGGCTAGCCTCAGTCTCTCAGTGATATGCCTGCCTCTGCCTCCCGAGTGCTGAGTCTAAAGGTTGTATGCTCTCATACTGGCTGTAAATATTTTGACCCCAAAGGTCTGTTGAATAGACAGTTACTTGTATAATACCTTGATTTTTGTAAAAATGATAGAGTATTCCTTTCTTTTTATTTCCTTGAGATTACATAATTGTAATCACCTTGAAGCTGGGATTTACTTCCCTTCCTAAGGTTGTTTTGTTTGAGACATGGTCTCAGGTAGCACTGATTGGCTTTGAACTTGCTATATAGTTGAGGGTGACCTTGAACTTCTGGTTTTTTTTTTTTTCTTTGTCACCACCTCCCAAGAGCTGGGATTATGGACATGTGCCACTATAGCACCACACCTCACCTGGTTTTTATGTTGTGCTGGCGATCAGACCAGGGGCTTTGTGCATGATAGGCAAGTGCTCTGGCAAATGAGCTACATTGCCCTGCTCTCTTTAGATCTTAGCAGAGTATTGTGAACCGAAGCTATATATATTTTACTGTTGGGAGATCTTCTGTAAACAGTGACTTTCCTGCATATTCTTTTCATTGTAGAAACAGTGGCTGAGATTTCCCTGCTGTCGTGTGTGTGTGTGTGTGTGTGTGTGTGTGTGTGTGTGTGTGTCTCTGTAGCCCCAGCTGGCCTGGAACTCACTATGTAGACCAGGCTGGCCTTGAACTCACAGAGATCCTCCTGCCTCTGCCTCCCACGTGCTGGTATTAAAGGCATGTGCCGCCACACCTGGCTCTAACTCCCCTTCTGTCTTATTACTACTTTGCTTTCTCAGAACCAGTGGCCTATTAGAGAAAACTAGCCCTAATTTGGACACTGACCCTGAACCTGATTACATTTATTCTCATTTCAGTTGTCTTTTCTCCATTGCTGACATTTCAGAATTAAGTATTATTGGCTTAAAAACAGCCATGCATTAAGTGCTTAATGGAGCTTATAGTATTACTGTTTTTAAATCTTTAGCTATATATTAGAAAATAATTTTAATCAGTCTAAATCATTCTAAAAATATTGTATGTCATACACAAAGACGAGTTAGAAAATACTAGCCAAGTGGTAAGGCTACATAGCTCATGCATAGAGAGTTCCTTAAGTTGTTTTCATTTGTTTTGAGACAGGGTCTCGATATGTAGACCCGGCTGGCCTGGAACTCACAGAGATCCTAGCACCTCTCCCTTCTGAGTACAGGGATTAAAGGTGTGCACACCCAACTAATAGTCTTTTTTAAAAAAAGATAGTCATGGTTGAGTCACATGTATCCTTCCATATGTGAGTGTGCTTCAGAAATACCTTTGAAAAAAGTGGACTATATTGTTCAGCAACCTATTTTTCTACTTGAGATCTTTCTATAGCAATATGTAATTCTGCAAACCATTTTTATGATTGTGTGGTATTTTATTTGTAGATATGTCATAATTTACTTTTATTCTTTTCTTGGTGGTTTATAATGTGCTATTATATAAAGGTTCAATAAACATTTGAGCTAGGTTTTGGTTCAGATATTTAAATTATTTAATGTTAGAATAAGTGATGAATCACTTGGAATTAAATAAATTTTATTCTTTATCACATATTTTAAGATACAAAGTGCCATTTTAGTTCTGTGCATTGAAATTTTGTTCTGAATGAGAGAATTTTTTTGTAGTATCTTCAGTAGGGTAACAGATTATCTATATTGAAGATAGGGTAACAGATTATCTATATTGAAGATAGCATTTAATTTGTAATGTTGGTACCACAGTTTAAAACTTTTGCTAGTTCAGTTTCTCACCTATGTATAGTTTTAGATGATTCTTTTTAAGTAATAGATTATCATGGAGTATGCTGATAATATTTGGAAAGCAGGAAATTTGAATAACTTATCAGAATATTGTTAGCTGAAGAATATTATCATTGATCTATGCTTTATCCCTAGGAAAATGAATGTCTACCTAATAGTAATACACTTTATCAGGCTGAAGTGAGGAGCGAAGCTCTGAATGGGAACTTAGACAGCATTCTGTCACTTCGTAAGTATTCAGTCTTGGAAGTAAATTTACTGGAGTTGATTTCAATTGCTATTGAGGTTTTACAGGATAGTTCATGAAGGGCAAGCAAGGAAGCATTTTTGTTTTCCCTTTAAGGTAAGACTGATAAGTTAATGTATAGATTGAACTTGTGGCTACTTTGGAGGTCATTTTAAAGAAGAACCTTGGAAATATCGTGGTGTTAGAGTGGTAGTTGGGCATGGTAAACCAAAGACTTGGAGCTGTTTGTAATTCAGTAGCTGATAGGTAAGTCTGTTACTTTCTTGCTTCAGTTTTCTTAAACTGAGGTAATCCTTATTTTGTAGAGATTGTTGTGGATACATTAAGTGAAGGCATTTCCTAGACTTTGTTAACAAAAGCACAACAAATGTTTACTGAACATTTAAAAGTGTGTATCATGTGGGGCATGGTGGCTCATGCCTTTAATCCCAGCACTCTGGGAGGCAGAGGCAGGCGGATGCCTGAGTTCAAGGCCAGCCTGATCTACATAGTGAGTTCCAGGACAGCTGGGGCTACAGAGAGACCCTGTCTTTAAAAAGAAAAAAAGTGTGTATCATGTTAATAAAGTCAACTCCATTGACTGTGGAGAAAGGAATAGTGAAGTTAGATGAGTTAGTTACCCTAGGTGTGCTTTGAGCCAGAATCAGGATCAACTTTAACTTTGTTCTTTTCACCACATTTTTTTAAATCTTTTTTTTTGATATGTTTATTCATTTTTATTTTATGCGTATGCGTGTATTGCCTGCATGTAGGTAAGTGCACCTGTGTCGTGCAGTGCCCGCGGACATCAGAAGAGGCTGTCAAATCCCCTGGAACTAACTGGAGTTACAGACAGTTGTTAGCTGTCATGTGGGTGCTGGGATTCGAACCCAGGTCTTCTGCAAGAACAACTAGTGTTCTTAACCGCTGAGCCATCTCTCCAGCCCTTTTCACCACATTTTTAACAAAATTTTATGTATATGAATGTATTGCCTGAATGTATATAAGTGCGCCCATGTCATGCAGTGCCCACAGAGGTCAGAAGAGGGCTTCAGATCCCTTGGAACTAGAGTTAAGGTTGGTTGTTAGCACAATGTGGGTGCTGGGAATCGAACCCAGGTTCTCTATAAGAGCAGCCTGGGCTGTGTCCCCAGCCCTGACCTATATTTAGTAAATAAATAATATGTTTCTTAAAGTCTTCATTTTTTAAACATATTCATGATGTTATTTGGCAGGTATACAGATTGTGGCAAATAAATGATTTATAACTAAAATGTAGCATTTTAAAAACATCTTCCTTAAATGTTAACTTTGATTGCTGTGTATTTAAATTGTACGAGTGGACATTTTGTTTAAAAAAAAAAAACAAAACAAAAAACCGTATTATTTGGCATTTATTACTTGTGTTTGTGCCTTTTAAACTAGTCTTTAACTGAAACTGGCTAGTATTGTAAGGGAAAGGCAAAGTGTCAAGTATGAAGTGTTGGTCAGAGGTTTGCTGATGCCGGCTGCTGAGTTTATTGATTTTGCCTTCCACTCTGTATAATGTATAGATTTTCCATACTGACAAGATAAAAACAGAAGCATTAGCAGAGGAGTCTGGGTTCATAAGGTGCATGCACGGGAGCTGTCTTTCCCTTCATTATACCATTTCTACTTTATTATCATCCTCTTGGTTTTTCAGACTTGTTTGTTGCTAAGGCAACAAGATGCTTTTTGTCAGCAGCCTTCTAGCTTGCTGAGATGTTTTTGGACACCTTTTTAAGGCAAAAAAAAAAAGAAGAAAAAACAAACTTGATAATATTCTGTGAAATACTATTTTGAATAGTATAAAAATATACTTTTAAGAAGTTGTTTTTTAAATTTTAAAAGAGAAAGTGCCAGAAACTTAAGACTGTAGACTATCTGAACTTACCAGTTTTCCTCTGCCTTCAGATTTACAGGTTTGGAAGAGCAGTTAGCATTGAATTGCTGCTGTCTGTTCTAGGCAGTTCTCGGGTGCTCACAGAGATCAGGCAGGGAAGGGTAGGTGGGTTATCTTGGTCAACTTTGTGTGCTCCTAGGACAGTCTTTAATTTGTAGGAATGGCAAATAATTGGATCAGACAGAACTCAAGGTGATTGAGAGGCATGTGGTTGTATCAGTTTTTCAAATTCCCTGAGTGACTTCATGAAGGTCATTTTGTAAAAAATTTTAAGATTTTTTTTTTTTCAGATGCCGTGAAATCATTGGGAAACTTAGGGTCCTGTCTAAAGGGTTTTTATAATTGATCTAAAACACTTCTTGTGTGGAGGTCAGTTTATTTTTAGTTAAATGAACTAAAAAACTCTTAATGAGGCTTACCATTTGCCTTTTTTTTTTTCCCGGAGCTGAGGACTGAACCCAGGGCTTTGCGCTTGCTAGGCAAGCACTCTACCACTGAGCTAAATCCCCAACCCCTACCATTTGCCTTTTAAGAATTAAGCCAGGTATCTTATCTTCCTAAGCTGTTTTTATTATCTGCACAGTTTGTCTACACAGTGAATTTGTCTCCCATCCCATTCATGCATCACTCCGAAGTACATTACATATAATGAGAAGACTAATGAGAATGTACCATCACAGCTGCAGAAAGAAATTCATTCACTAGATGCCCACAGTGTTGCTATCTATCGCTCACTAGTTACATACACATCACTGAAATATTCAAGGTTATGAACTGTTAAAACACAAAATGAGTAGTAGAACAAACAGTAGTGTAAAAATATGTATAGAGATGAGTATAAATTGATGACATAGCACAAATAAAGACCTGTTTTATTATGACTAGTTGCCTTCGTGTGAATGCAGTCTTTGGTTGTGATGGAAAGTGAAATGAGAAAATCCAACACAACCATTTCACCTCTTAGAAAAGACTTTTCTCTTGTCTTTAAAGGACAAAAGTCATTACAATCTCTCCACTGTGCCCAGTAACATGCAGCCTCAGTTACGTAGCAGGGTGATTCGAGTATGCAGGTATTTTAGTAATTACTTTTATATTGAAGAATAATTATGAATGTGTTACTTCATAAAGTAAAGTAAAATATTTTAAATGATTTATCACAAATATATAACCTTGCTATTTTATTTTATAAGAAATGAATTTTTTTAATAAAATTCCCAATTGAAAATTAAAAGGTATTGGTATAATGTTTTGTCAATTATTTTCTTTTACAGTGGAATCAAATATATCGCCTTTCCCATTTAATTCTTTGAGAGGCAGCCTAATTCTAGGCTTTCGGAGGTAAGATTATGAATTTAAATCTCTTTACCATTGGACTGATTTCCCTTGTCCTTCTGATCTATTGCATAATGATTTTTTTTTTTTTGGCAGGGTCGGGGGGACAAGCTCTTTAGAGTTGAATTAAGTTCAGGCAATCTTTATATTCCCTTTTTCTGAGAAATACACATTAGGTAGCAATCCTCGGTCAGAAAGAAAATAAATTTTCATGCATATTCAGATTACTTTTTGAGCATTTAATTATATTTGTTTGTTTTTTGAGACAGGGTCTCCCTGTGACCCTTTCTGGTCTTCATCTCACAGAGACCTGCCTGCCTCTGCCTCCCTAGTGCTGGGATCACAGGTGTGTACTACCACGCCCAGCGTATTGACTTTTACTTGATATAGTGCTATTATTCATCTGTGTTTTCAAGGAATATTAATTATATGAGGCTGGAGAGATGACTCAGCAGTTAAGAGCACTGACTGCTCTTGCAGAGGACCCAGAACCCAGAACCTCTTGCAGAGGTTCAGTTTCCAGCACCCATATGGCAGCTAAAAACCATCCATAACTTCAGTTTAAGAGGATATGAAACCGCCTTCTGACCTCTGCAGGCATTGCATAATACAGGTGCACTTACACACATGCAGGCAATACACTCATACACATAAAAATAATAAATACTAAAAAGGAATATTCATTATAAACAAAATAATAATGTACTACTCTGTTTTCTGTCACTATATTAAGATACCCTGAAGCATGATAACTTAATAGAGAAAGGCTTATTTGGTTCAGAGGCTCAAAGGCATGATGGTACTGGTTTGGACTAGTTCTTGTGATGGCACTCTGAGCTGAAGCAGTCGATGAGAATAGACAAGGGGGAATGATCTGACCTCATCACACAACAGGAATCCCAAGAACAATTCAGGGTTAGACTCACTCTTTTAACTTGCTATGGTGAAGGGCAGGTTTCAGGAGAATACTACAGTCCCTTCCAAGAGTATATGCCCAGTGATTCAAAGGCCTCACCTTAGGCCACAGTGAGAACCAGGTTCCAATCTGTGAACACTTGGGAGGTAATTCAAACCAAATCTCAGGACGTTCCAATTTGTTGCTTGAAAGATATTCGCAGAAAAATTGGAAGAATAGTAAATGAATGGTCTCCATACTCTGTAGATTTACCAGTTGCTCATTTTGTGCCATATTTGTGTTCTGTCTCATACAGTCTTGCGCTCTCTCTCTCTCTCTCTCTCTCTCTCTCTCTCTCTCTCTCTCT